AATAATCGCAACTACTTTTCTTCCCGTAAGTCTAATGTAATTTACCTGCAATTTTTCATTAACGATCATTGACAAATTGAACTTTTGCAAGACTATTAAATATTATGACTAAATAGTTTAATTTATTGTAATATTTAAGTGGTGCATATAATACAATATACAACTGTAATTTTACAATAAAATTACATCTCATTTAGTACTTATTTAATAAAGTTGTTGATTATTATATTAAACGTGAAAATTATGTCGGATGTAATTTTACAGAATTTGTAATATTACAGTTATTGTTAATACAAATTTAAATTGTAATTTTACTGTGATCCTTTATTTGTATGTTCATTCATTATTATATTTAAATATGTACTTTGTGATTGTACCTAAACGTAAGCGTATGACACAGTGGTAAAGATTTAATTCATTGATTAGTTGGTCGAGCTGTAAAAAGACAAAATATGCCCCACGAGGCGTATTTTCTACTAATGTCTCGGCGATAGCGGAGGCATTAAGCCCCTAAAACAAGTCCAGTGTTAGTCGCAGACCGGAAAAAGGGATAATTAAAGTTTTGAGTGAAAGCACAAAAAGGCAGGGGCTGCAGTTCCACCGGAATAGGTTCCTAATGCCTTTTATTTACTGTCCCCTACATTCTTGCACGTCGTAGAGTAAAAAACCACACACACCATACTCAATCAATAACAATAAACATCAACCAGTTAACCAACTTAATTCACACTGAATTCACTGCCAATATCGCCTCAAACAAAGATATATTAATAATAAGTATTAATTTAGTAGCTACAACTCAGCAGTTGGTTATAACAAACAAACGGTTGATTTGACGCAAATAAACTAACGGAAAGGAGCGAAACTCGTTCCCCGTTGTAAGAAATGAATCCTAAATTATTTTTTATAAGATGCAGGGCTTCTGCAGACCAAAGATATATGGTTAGCCGTGTTGACCCAGTTCGCCCCCATCCCTCATCTTTAGCTTCACGCTACGATCGTTGCAGTTCAGAGGTTACACAAATGAAATACATTATAGTACTCCTGGAGTTTTGAGGGCCGAGTCGGAGCGAGATAAACGTAGTGAAATATCGTCTTATTTTTGTAATACGTTAAACTGGACCGGAGGCATGCCGCAAATCCCCGATGATATCTGTTCGGTTGAATCGCTACACTAAATAAGGTGTTGTCATATTTATATAATAATTCCAAATAATACAAATCCCTCGGTTCATTTCAAGAAAGTGTTGACGATGTTATTAATCCCCGGGGGTTTTTCCGCACACGACGTATATCATGGTTAGCAAATCTTCGCCCCACGTTTTTTTTTAAGATAAAATATCTCCTTCCCGCATATGTCAACTTTATGCTGTCTATTTGTAATTGTCCCCTATAACATCGAAAACCGGTAATTTGCTACAACCTAGAGCATTCTAGCATACAGGGTGTTAGAAGGTTGACTGCCTTAATTTTAGCAGAGGATAGAGTACATTAAAATAAACAAAAAAACATTATATGACATGGGTTCTAAACTCAACCATTTCCGAGAAAAAAATTATCAAAATCTCCAACGTTCGATTAATTGAGGAATATTGACGTAACTAAAAAATAATTAGCGTTGTAATAAATTTAAAATTCTATCAAATTCATACTAAGCGCAATTCAGTTGGGATCTGGAATTGGACCGTGTCTGAGTGTTTTTTACGTACCACTATTATTTTCCTTTTCTTGAGGTGTTTTCCAGCGAGTGTGCGAAAATTGGATTCGAAAATCGCAGTGACCTTAATTATTAATATTAAGAGCCGAATTTGGCGAGAGTATACATTAAGAGCTATATTTTCATGTACTAGATTAAAATTAAAGTGAATTCAACTATTTAATTGCAAAAAAAAAGATAGCGGCGATGCGTTCTATTACTCGGTCTAGCGAACGAGTAGTGGGAAGAGTGAGGCGGAGCATGCGCGCTACGCGCCTGGTTGCGCGCAGGAAAATGATCGAGCGGCTTCAAATCGATGGAGCTGGAAAAATTAGCCATATCTCAGTTAATAATGAACCTATCGAGATGATTATTTTTTTAATTTGTGGTAGCGCGAAAATTCATGAGCATTCAAGCTATTGTATTAAATTAACATTATTTCAACCCGAGATTTAATTTTTTATTTAGCCTCGCTCTTCCCACTCGTTCGCTAAACCGAGTAATAGAACGCATCGCCGATATATTCTTTTTTGCAATTAAATAGTTGAATTCACCTTAATGTTAATGTAGGACATGCAAATATAGCTCTTAATGTATACTCTCTCCAAATTTCGACTCTTAATAGTTAAGGACACTGCGATTAAATAAAAAAAAAATCGTCTCAACTTCTAATCAACTTAGAACAACGGTTTTTTTAAAACTAAACTATAGACGTTACTATTTCATTTTATAATAATTACCTATCTTAACAATTTAATAAATACTAACATTTTTTCAGTCATTTTTAAACAAATTAAATTTGAAAAATTCTCAGTAAATGGATATGTCAATACAACTATTTAGGTACAAAAACAACTAATGATCGAAACTCTACAACGCCTTTGAGCTTGGGAAAAATCAATTGAAAATAGTATTTTCTTAGATAACAAATTCAGCCAACGCCAAACTAATGAAGCTTTCGGGTTGAAATGTTTATCACTTATTAAGGGTGCAAAAAGCCTAAAAAATCCTGAATTACAAGTGTCTGCGATGAAAATTGCATTAATTATTAGCAATTGAAAAAAACGGCCATTTTCGACCATTTTTGAGCTCTTGCGCATAAACAAATTATCGGAATTTAATCGGACTCGTCTTAATTTACAGATTTATTTAATACCTACCTTTTTTGTATAAACCTTTTTTCTCTATGAATAACAGTTTTTTTACGCGAGTCAAAAAACCACTTTTCCATAATTTTGACCACTGTTTTAACAAAGTTTCCCAACTAGTCTCGAGTTGATTTTTTGATATTTTGTTTATAACACGTTTCTGAACAATATTCCGCAGAAAAACTTCTAATAGTATTTTTTTCCCGAAAAAAGCTATAATGATGGGCCTCTTGTTTACATTTTTTCCGTAGGACAAATCTGCCGAGTGCACACGTGGTATGCATCAGATGTGTAGCGTTAGGTTAAGCGCTGTGTCACGTTATGTTCATTTATTGATTACTCTATCTCATGCTGAAGTAATGGCAGTCAAACTTCTTACACCCAATATATACCAAGGTTTTTTTTCTTGGATAATTGGAATATTGAATATAATTTCAATGCTAGCAGTTGTTTCTCGTAATATCGACAGCTGTCTAGATTTCTGTATCAATGTGTTCGACTTCATTTGTCCGGATTTAAAAAAAATATATATTTTTCTCGCTATTTAAAGCTACTGGATACCTGTCAACGTTCAGCAGGTACCACGTTTTTACCGGACCTGTATTTTGATCGATAATATATTCACTATACTATCAGGCCTTCGTGTGAGAGCTATTATACCGTCCTATCGGTAATTACTAGTCTTAGGCGTGGTATTTGCCGCCTAGTTTTAGCGGATATATATTTGGCTACATAATAAGTTTTTAATACCCCATCGCTCAAAGACTTTGCATGTAATTACGGGGAAACTAATGTGCAACTGACGAAAAGATCTCGACTTTAAAACTAGACACTTAAAAAATTAATGCCGTTATCGATATATAAACGATTCTGTATCTTCTTGAAGTTGGATTTGTAACTGGAAGAAGCAGAGATTTCAGGATTAGATTATCAGAGAGTGGTTTTCGACAAGTGAAGATATGAAACCATCTTATAGAGATCAATATAGATTTGAGGCTTTCAAGAAAGTGGACAAAGGAACACGCAATAGGTAATGAAACAAAAGTAAATTGTCATTTATATCCAAATGTAACTAAAAAATTATTTCTATTGTAAAAATTAAAAGTACGATCTTTAGAACGAAAAAAATACCATGCGATTTTTGAATCAAACATTTGACAGATCTTATTTCATTCAAATCTATGTACTTGATTCCATTGAGTCTAGAAAACTTTGTACATATACAGCATGCGATGGATTCTTTAATAGCTAAGATCTACCCTCTACTAGCTGTTGCATCCTAATTTTTTATATTGTCTTGAATTGAGGTTGTAGTATTTACAACCTTTACATCGCTGTGTTACCGTAGCTTCTAGCGTCAGTCGCGTTGTGCCAATACTGACATCCGATTTTAGCGATAGTGTTTACATTAGTTTTTCAAGTGTCAAAAATAGCAACTCGGGAGTTGATGGATATCGTGTCAATTTATGGTGAAGCAAGACAGCATTTGTGTGATAGTGAAGCATTTGTGTTATGGCGAACATTTGTGTTAGTGTTTCCACACAAAATTTTGAACAGTATAGTCTTTCCGATTATCTTATAAGCATATTTGGGCGTATTTCTTATAGTTTGCAAGATATTTGAGGTTTTCCTTATTTTTGCCTCTGTTTCCAATCTGATATGGTAAAAATGAACGATCTGGACGAGTTAATTGGTTACCTAAACCACTCGACCTAATAAAAACTGACCCTTTTGTGGGGATTTGTAAAATTTATTCCTAGCCTCCCAAAATGAAAGATATGCAAAACCGTAAATTCCGTAATCGTAACTATCTTCCTAACACTTAGGTAATTTTTATAAAGAACGATGCCCAAATATCTTTGACGCAGAAAATTCCATTATTATGTGGCGTCTATAAATTAATAATTCATTTCACACATATTTAAAACCGTTCTACAGACGGTTCCGAAACGTTCGGTCATTAAACGGGTTCATTATATGACAGAAATATTTACGATCTATTAGAATATTGACAGATTAAGTCTGTTTATACGTGAAATAGTGTGGGAGTAGCGGGAATTCGTCCGGAGTCGGTATTTTCCGGAGTCTTGGTCCATTCGGAAACATGGACTACGGCATTCAGAATCTTGTTTAGTACTGAAACGACCGCCGTGGGGGAATGTTACAGTCGGCCCTGAAAATATACCGACACTTTTACGTACCTGACAATAACAAATTTTAATTTCCGTCACGGCGACACCGCCGAAGTGATCGATAAAATATTGTTAGTTGCCCATAACACGTCCCAGTGAAATATAATGATCCCCTTTGTGTTTTGTGATTCCTAAGTGAATACAATGACTTCTTGGATCGTCCTCTCGCTTATCCTTTCAGGAGGTTTTCACGTCTATGCTGATAATTTAGGTATAAAAATTTTTTATATTCAATTAATCCGATACCGCCCTACAGAGAGCACAATCGATTAAAAAAACGTCAGATAAGAACCTAAAATTTTAACGTGGAAGGTTCTTAAATTGTGTGATTTTTACATTTTTTTTATTTACATTAAAATTAGGAGCAGATATCACCTGAAATTAAGTCTCTAATTGAGTTGGCCATTCACTACACTAAGAAAAACAATTGTTTGTCATTCTAGACGCGCGGACTATTAATTTTCGACATTCGCCGTTAAAATCCATTTAAACGCCTTAGGTCGTTAGAAATTCAGATAAACGACGTTACCTGCACGTGAACAAGTGAACAGTTCCGGTCCCGAAGGAACAACTAATGCCCCATGTTTTTAAAAGCTATCAGTTCAACACAGAACATTTCCCGCAAATAAAAGCTTTTTTGTGCGACAAATGCAGCACAAAGGGGCTTCTTTAGAATGTAGGCGGACCAGTTTCCATTTTGAGATCTAATTATCGATTTTATCCGTTTTAGATTTTTTTTTACCTAACTTTCCAAAGCGGCAATGGATCTAATAATTATAGAACCACCCACAAATTCTACATTATTTTTATTTAATGAACGTTATTATCGCGAAAACACGCTCGTGTCCGCAACGTATAAGGTATCTTACTTGAGGCTATACAGTTTCTAACCCTAAAAAAAATTGTTGTTAATTAAATATTACGTCACATCAGAGCGCTATTCGCTTTTGATATGTTGTCGTTAATTAACCTTAAAAGCTAAATAACGCTGTTTGGTTTGAATAGTGATACTTTTAAACTCCTAGCGTTCAAACTTAATTAAATTTCTTTTATAAATTACATTACTTTTCCGCTATCTTCCTTTAATTTAATGTTTACCTAAGACGGCGTAAGTTTTAATTGAGTTATTACAAGATTTATTAACTCGGACTTATTACATTTACAGCCGATAACTCAAATTACGGTTATTTAAATATTGGTAGGAGCGGGGACGCGAAAAATTTGTCCGGAACTGAATTTTTTTAAATATCGTTAAAGAAACAACCAACAAATAAAGTCGTTTTATTGATTTCCAATCCACTTATACCTCAAACGGAGCTTAATACTTTATTATTGAACCAACCTGAGGGTTCATATTTTCAAAATTGTTTGGTTAACATTTGAGAATTATATATACGTAAAATAGTCGAGTACACTGACAAACACGTTCGATATTTTTAAATATATAACGTGACAATTATGGCTACGTACATAATGGGAGTTTAATTGTGATCATATAAATGTGGCCTTGTTCAATTGGCAACTATTAAAGCGCAAATTTCCATGTTATTCAACTCCGGGTCAAGTATTTAACATGGACGACACAGAACTGTAATGATATTTCGATTTTATTCTGCTAAATAAAACGATTGTTGTAAATTAAAATTTAATTGCCTCCACAAAATATCACGTTACATAAAAATGGGATATTTGTGTATTAACGAAACACAAAACAATTTCTCTCGGTGTAACTATGACAAAATAGGTGCGCTGTCCGGAAATGTGTGGTATTTAAATATGTAGAAATACATGCTGTCTTTTCTTTCGCGTACGGAAGCACGTACCTTTTCAAAACATAAAGGATTCGAAAATATACGTTTGCCGTAAAAGGCTTATAGTCCAGTCACTGAAGGAGAAAATAAAGTAAAAGTTCCCAATTTTTTCGGATAGCATGGATTTTCCTGAAAATATGCATACAAGCTCATCTGACCCCCCACTTCAAAAGTTATATTGTCTGGATGTGTGTTTTTTCTATTTGGGGGTGAAAACTACCCTTGTACGAAAAAAATGCGAAAATCGCAGATTTACGTATTTTAAAGATTCAATTCATATTCAAATATGTTGGATAAAGTTCCTTTCGTGTTTTTTGATATAATTTATGAATTGTAATTACTTTTCAACCTTTAAAAATCCTTAAAAACTAACCTTCCATGGTCAAAAAATTTGAAAAAAAAAAGTTTTTAACAGTTTAAAATATTCTTTTGGTGCATTCACAATGTATTGCATTTCTTTTGTTATTCATTAGAAAGCTTACGACTCATTACAAAGTTGCAACCCTTAAAAACTATCCCTTGTAATAAAATAATATTGAAAAGCTTGAGATGTTTTAATGGTATGCATATGTTGAATTATATACTTTTTATTGGTTTTCAAATGATCTATGATATATTGCAACTTTTCAGCCACCCAAAAATCCCTTATGAAAGACCTACCCCTCATAAAAAACCCTACGCCTTATAGAAAACTTTCCTAAAAATTAGGGGTATGATGATATAATTAATTTTTTTTAATTTTATTGAATTTATTCTTAATATTTTTTTATTAAATT